AAAAAAAAAAAAAAAGAAAAAGAAAAAGAAAATAATAAAGATCAGAATAGAAATGAATGAAATAGACACTAGAAAAACAACAGGTCAATGAGACTAAGAAGTTGGCTTTTTGAAAAGATAAACAAAATTGACAAACCTTTATCTAGACTAAGAAAAAAGACGATTCAAAAAAATAAGACATCAAAGAGGAAACATCACAACTGATACTACAGAAATGCGAAGGACCACCAGAGGCTACTATAAACAAGTATATGCCAACAAATTGGATAACCTAGAAGAAACAGATGAATTCCTAGACACATACAATTCTACCAATACTGAATGATGAAGAAAAAATCTAATCAGACCAATAACAAATAAGTAGATGAATGAATAAAAAGTTTTCCCATCAGAAAAAAAAAGCCCATGACCTGATGGTTTCATTGCTGAATTCTACCAAAAATTTAAAAAACAGTTTTTCGCAAATTCTTCAAAAAACTGAAGAAGAGTAAATACTTCCAAATTCATTTTATGAGGCCAGAATTCCCTGATGCTAAAGCCAAAGACTCTACTGGAAAAGGAAACTATAGGTCAATATGCCTGATGAACATAGATGCAAAATTTCAATAAAATACTAGCAAAGTGAATTTAACAGCACACGAAAAGGATCACTCACCATCATCAAATGGGATTTACTCCTGGGGCTCCAGGATTGACCTTGTCAACCTGTGCAAATCAATGTGATTCATCATAGTAACAGAACAGACAAGAAACATGTAATCATCCCAACAGGTAAATTTGATAAAATTTAACTTCCTTTCATGATAAAAACTCTCAACATATTAGGCATAGAAGAAATTTACCTCAGCATAATAAAGGCCATATGTGACCCACACACAGCTGACATCATACTCAATGGTAAAAAGTTGAAAGCTTTTCCTCTAAGATCACAAATAAGACAAGGATGCAACATGGTACTGGAAGTCCTACTCAGAGCAATTATTCAAGAGAAAGAAATAAAAGGCATTCAAATTGGTTAAGAAGTTAAATTGTCCCTGTTTGTCGACATGATATTATATATAGAAAACTCTAAAGACTGTAGCAAAAAACTGTTAGAACTAAAAAACAAATTCAGTAAAGTTTCAGGAAACAAAGTCAATGTACAAAAATCAGTAGCATTTCTGTACATTAAAGACAAACTATCCCCCCCAAAATTGAGAGAACAGTCCCATTTACAATAGCTACCAAAAATTTAACCAAAGTGATGAAAGACCTGTACACTGAAAACTATAAGACACTGATGAAAGTAACTGAAGGCCAGGTGTGGTGGCTTACACCTGTAATCCCAGCACTTTGGGAAGCCAATGTTGGTGGATCACCTGAGGTCAGAAATTGGAGACCAGTGTGGCCAACCTGGCAAAACACCATCTTTAGTAAAAACACAAAAATTAGCCGGGCATGGTGGTACATGCCTGTAGTTCCAGCTACTCAGGAAGCTGAGGCAGAGATTTGCTTGAACCTGGTAGGAGGAGGTTGCATTGAGCCCAGATGTTGCCACTGCACTCAAGCCTGGGTGACAAAGTGAGACTCTGACTCAAAAAAAAAAAAAAAAAAGTGATGACAAAGACACAAATAAATGGCCCAACAAATAAATAAAAACACATTCTCTGTTGAACTGGAAAAATTTATGTTGTTAAAATGTTCATATTACTCAAAGTCATTTGCAGATTCAATACAATGCCTATCAAAATTCCCATGGCTTTTTTCGAAGAAATAGAAAAAACAATTCAAAGATTCACATGAAACTAGAAAAAACCTTGAATAGCCAAAAAATCTTAACCAAAACAACAAAGCTAGAGGTATCACATTACTTGACTTCACAATATGCCACAAAGCTATAGTAATCAAAACAGCATGGTACTGTCATAAAAATAGACACATAGACCAATGGAACAGAATAGAGATCCTGGAAATAAATCCACACATTTATGGTCAATTGATTTTCCACAGAGGGTAAGATGGGGAAATGGGGAAATGGGGAAAAGATAATCTCTTCAATAAATGGTGTTGGGACAACTGCTATTTTTCTGCAGAAGAATAAAATTAGAACCTTATCTCATACCATATAAAAAATAAGCTCAAAATGGATTAAAGCCTTAAATGCAAGACCTGAAACTATAGAGCTACCAGAAAATAGGGGAAAAGCTCAATGACACTGGTCTGGATAATAATTTTTTTGGATAAGACTTCAAAAGCACAGGCAACAACAACAAGAATAGACAAATGGGATTACATCAAACTAAAATCTTTATACAGCACAGGAAACAGTCAACACAGTAAAGAAACAATCTGTTGAATGGGAGAAAACAAGTGCATATCACACAACTGATGAGAGGTTAATAGCCAAAATATACCAGAAACATGAGCAACTCAATAGCAAGAAAACAAATAACTAAATTAAAAATGAGGCAGATGACCTGAACAGACATTTCTCAAAGAAAGACCAACAGGTATAGAAAAAAATGCTCAACATCATTAATAATTAGGGAAATGCAAATCAAAACCACTATAGAATATCACCTCATACCTGTTAGAATGGTTATGATTAAAAAGATGAAAGGTAAGAGAGAAAATATGAAGAAAAGGGAATGCATAACACAATATTGGTGAAAATGTACATTAGTATGGTCACCATGGAAAACAGCATGAAGGTACTTAAAAATAAAGAACTACTATATGGTCCAGCAATTTCATTACAGGGTATTTATCCAAAGGAATTGAAATTAGGATCTGGAGAGATATCTGCACTCCCATGTCCATTGTGACATTATTCACAATAGCTAAGATGTGGAAGCAACCTAAGTGTCCATCAGCAGATAAATGAATAAGAAAATGTGGTACATATACACAATGGAATACTATTAGGCCTTAAAATAGAAGGAAATCCTGTCATTTGTGACAATATGGATTAACCTAGATGACATTATGTTAAATGAAATCAGCCAGGTGCAGATATCACATGATCTCACTTACATATGGCATCTAAAAAAGTTAAACACATAGAAACAGAGAGCAAAATAATGGCTACCAGGAGTGGGAGTAGGGAACAGTAATTGAGAAGATACTGATCAAAGAATACAAAACCTCAGTTAGGAGAGATAAGTTCAAATGATATATTGCACAAATGGCGATTCTCGTAAATAAATGCATCCTATTTGTGAAAATTGCTAAGAGTAAATTTTGTGTTCTTACCATGAAAAATGATGAATGTGTGAGGTAATGCATACGTTAATTAGCTCAATTTAGCCACACCACAATGTATACATATTTCAGACAACATCAGGCGCATTCAGGGTGGTAGGGCTGTAGATTACATATTTCAAAGCATCACTTTGTACAAAATAAGTATAGGCAATTTTTATTAGTGTTAGAAAATATTTTCTTAAAAACTATGTAGTTTACAAAGCTTAAAATATTTGCTGTTTGGCTTTTAAGAAAATGTTTGCCCACCCCTGTCCTGGAGTCTTGGAGAGCAAGACCTTTTGTAGTACCTGGCATTTAGTAGGTACATATTAGATCTCTGTTGAAAGAAGTAATGGGCCTCAAGGCCCAGCTCTAAGCCCTCTTTAATGGGAGGCTCTTTTTTTGGCAGGGCAGGGCTAGACAGCTGTGGGTCAGTTCTCTTCTGGTAGTCCCAGAGTCTAAAGCAAACCATAGATGAAAGCTCTGAAGGAGAGACACCAGTACTCACAGGTCTCACATCCATGCTCAGTCCAAGGGGACCTAGCTACTTCCTTACCCCTTCTCAGTTTCAGGAGAAGGAAAGTGTTGGACATTGGTTAAGACCCTCTCCCACTTTTCCGGAGCCAATTGCTTTGGTGAACCCTCTGGCAAGGGCATGGATACTTTCAGGAAAGCAAAGATGATTCTCTGCTTCTCTGTTCTTCCCAACAAACATGGGTTGGGCTAGACTCTAAAGAGCAGCCATGGAGGACTGTGGGAAGGACCCACCCTTGCTGTAGAAGCTCTCTGCAAAGCAAGAAGCAGGGTATGGGTAACAAATGCCAATTCCTGGTTAAACTGGACTTGAAAGGTGAAATATTTCAGGCTGTACGTGGTCACGTTGTACATATGCATGCCTGGGGGTTACCAGGCTATATGCAAATGTACTGGGAAGAGGTAGGCTCTAAGAACCTGCTGGGACCCCTAGGATGAGCTGTGGATTTTTGCCCCTGATGCCATGAATTGGAGGGTGTTCTGCTCAAAACATATGGTGCACACTTCTTTTAATCTGGTATCATCTTTAGGTCCAGAAGAGAAAACATTCTCTTCCTAATACCAAAGTCCTCATCTTAGGTTCCCTGGGTCCACAGAGGGTTGCCTTTGACGAGCTGGGATCTGAAGGCTTGAGAAAGCACCAGCTTCCACCACTCCCAAGTCCTGGAGGGTATCCAGTAACTGCTCCCGGGCAGCACCAATAAAGCAATTCTCCAGAAAGATAGGCAGGCCTCCCACACCATCACGCAGGGTATACAGGGGCACTCTCACCAGGCCCAGCACCTGTAAAAGTAAGGAGACAAGACACTGGGACTCCAGGTAGCTCATGTCGCTACTTCCATCCTCTCTTTAGCAGATCTTTCTAGAGCAGATGCCTCACCCCTTAATACACCAAGAGAAACAAGCCAAGGCTTCTATCTAAAGGAGACCCAGTAGGCCCAACCCTCTGCAGACAAATGACCCAAGACATACTATCCAGCTCCATCAATGTTACTCCTTATGACATCTGCTCCCTAAACCTCTAGTGATTCCTAACTAATGCCAGAATTCATGCTTAGCCCTGCAACAATGGTTCTCAAAATGGGAAACCTAGACCAGCTTCATCAGCATCACTTGGGAACTTCTGAAAAAAGCAAATTCTCAGATTTCTGAACCCCTGCCCCCAGGACTTGGGAGTGGTGGAAGCTGGTGTTTTCTCACCCCCAACCAGCATTCTGGGAGTAGAATCTAGTCATTGTTGTCTTTATAAGCCTCACAGCTGATTCTGATACTTGACAAAATTTAAGAACCACCTGCATATACAATCTGTGTCCATACTACCCTAGCTCTAAGTATTAGGGCCATACCTTCTTCCTAAGAAAAACAGAGGCCCAACAATAAGGGACTAGGGTGGATGCCTGGCCATTTTCACATTATCAGTAGAGAGCAGCAGAGAGATTTGTAAATGTGTGTTCTAGAAAAATCTCTCCAGAGCCCAGTAAAGGGTGAGATGGGTGGAAATCTTCCCTGGAAGCCTAGGTTGGCAGCACCATTCGATAAGAGAAGACCAAGATCCCAACTCCACCAAAAAAAAAAAAAAAAAAATGGGGAAGAGGGCAAGTTCTGACAGACACCGACCTCAATCCAAAAAGAGTTTCTAAGGCAAAGGAAGGAATGGAAGGGAAAGGAATAGGATATGGGGCAGGGTCCCAGACAGGCCCCACCTCCAGCCCGTGGTCTTTGGCGCGTGTTGCACTGGCCTCCACAGCGGACAGCTGCTCGAGTGTCAGAGACTTGGCATAGAAGTGGGCCACAACACGTGGCCCTGACCCGGCGTGGGAGCTGCGGTAGTCAGGGCGCTCCACGCGGAAGGCAGCCGCCGCCTCACCCAACTGTTCCAGCAGACCACGGTTCAGCCCATCCTCTAGGCTGCTGTCTTGCGAGTCCACGAATCCCCCAGGGAAGCCCAAGCGCCCATCGAAGCGCATCTGCATCTGCGAGAGGAGGAAGCTGGGATTGGCAGGGGCACCCAAGAGTAGCACCGCAGGGAGGATGTAGGGCCAAAGTGGAAAGGTCCGGGCGCGCCCCCTCCTCACCAGTATGGCGTAGCGCAGAGGGAGGCGGCCAAAGAGAATCCCAGGATCGGGCGCGTGCAGGAGGGCGTAACAGGCATGCCTCCAGTCCGGCCCCAGAGCCAGAGCCTCGGCCAGCTCCAGCCTGCGAGGCCTGGCCATGGCCCAACACTTCTCCTCCACAGTCCCTAAGGCCCACGAGGGCACAAAGTCCGTCTCACCTCGGACCAGGACCAATCCCAGCGTGGGCGGTGCCGCAAGGCCCAATCCCTGCAGGGCTAAGGGGAGGAACCTGGGCGCCTTAGGTGTGGGCGCCGCGACTGCGGGAGGCGGCCTATCAGAGCAGGGCTTGCAGACAGACTGAAGCCCAGGGCCTAGAAACCTTAGCCTCTGCGTTGGGCCTGTGTCAGGGAGGGCTGAAGGTGTGGCAGCGCCGGAACCTGGAGCGAGGCTGGTACGTACACGACTGCGTCACAATCTCCAGTCAGCTGGAGTGTCCTAGGAGGTGAGGAGGAGCTGGGGCGCTCAGTTGAGTGCTGGTAGCCAAAGGAACAATGACAAGCTTTGGTTGGGTCTGGTGGCACACAAAGCACAAGGCCTGGGTTGGGGTTAGGAGGAAATGAGGCAGGGCTGGCCTCACACACCGAGGCCTATACTAGGGAAACGGGGATGGAGCGGCGCCATGGTCTAACAACTATCTTGAGTGGTGAAACTGAGGGGACTTGGTGACTGCGTAAAGGGGGAAGAGGGAGCGCTGGGCTAGTGATGGTTAAGAGTTTCCTGGATGTGGTGTCATTTGCTGAGAGGGGAAGAGTGGGAGAAGGGTGGGCAGTGATAAATGTCGTTCTAGTCAAGAATTGGGGTGGCCATAGACAGTGGGCAGCTGATCCTGGGGGTTTGACGCACAGGATCCCAGTGGCACATGGAGAAGTCACAGGGCAGTGAGATTTTCAGGGGAAGTGTGGAGCAGAAGGAGCTGTGAGTGAAATCCTGTGTCACAGGACTGGGAGTGAGGAGGGGTGAGAGGTAGAAGAAGCCTCCTAGGCGTTCTAGTCTTTCCTGCAAACACCCTCAGACCTCTGAGCTGTGAGGAAGGGCGGGTTACCCTACCACTCAGGGCCTGATGCTGAGATGCAGATCCCTCATTTCAGGCCAGGCCTTCCCCACGCCGCACAGCGCCCCTACACCAGGTGTCAATATTGATTGTGCAATAGAAAGCAGGAGGCAGCTCTTTGAGAGGGGCTGGGCATAAAATCACAGCCTGTAAGTGACAGCATGTGGTGGGAAAGAGTCTGGACCCACCCAGAAATAGGCTTTTAACCTTAACAAGTCACTTAACTCTCGGATCCCAGTAGCTCATCTGTTAAGTGGAGATGATACCAACCTGTTAGGGATGTTGAGATATGAAAAGCACTTAGAACGGTGCCAGGCAGAAAGTAAATGTAGCCATTCTTGGAGTCGAGGGTTGGGGCACAGTGCTCTGTCATGTTAAAGACCCAAGGGTTGGAACTGAGCCACACTCATCAAGGCCCCAGTGTTTCAAGCAGGGATGACATCTGTTGGGCATCATTATTCCTAGCTTAGTCTTCTGAGTTCCAGGGCAGAGATGTCAACTACTCACATGAGACAGCCAGATCAACGTGATAAGCCTACAGGTGTAACACAATCCTTGTTAGCCTATCATGCTGGGAACTTGGAAATGGTCCCCGCATAATGTTAGAGTCACCTTGCTGTAAAACGTCATAGCAACTGCCATATTAAGGGTTCCAATCAGACCAACTGAATCAGAATCTGTGGAGGTACTATAGGGACATACGTGGTTTTTCAAAGGTGTTTCAGGGAACAGCCAAGGTGGAGAACAGGTGCTCTACTCCTTTCCTGAGCATTTCAAAGGTGACCTTCTCTCCTAGATTAGCTGCTTTTAAGGATTTAGGGTTAAACATGCCCTTTCCAGATCTTCAGGCTGTTCTTTCTTTCCTTGTTGCTTGAGGAGACTTTTAAAGATGGACTCAACTATTTATAAGGCAGCATGGAAGTCTATAAAAATCAAAGCAACAGCTATACAGGAATTAATGCTTTGGAAATCACAGCTTTTTCTGGATGAAGGAATATGGAAGTCCGTAAGAGCCCCAACCTTGCCATCCCTTTCAAATCCCTCTCTGCCTCTGCCCTACCTCCCCACCCTCACCAACCATCCCCCATTTCACTGTCCTGAGGCAGAATGCCCAGGACTCAGGGCTGCAGGTAGAGGGCTGAGCTATGTATCTAAAAAGCTTCTCTAAGTTCATAATCGTACATGGAACCAAAAATAGCTCTGTGGTCAGTCTGGGAGGATGCTAAGGAACCAGTTCGTTTTAAAAATAATCAGGAAAACAATTAAGCACTTATCCTGCCTTTTTAATTTATTTTTATTTTTTGAGATGGAGTCTTGCTCTGTCATCCAGGCTGGAGTGCAGCGGCTTAATCTCGGTTCACTGCAACCTCTGCCTCCCAGGTTCAAACAATTCTTACGCCTCAACCTCCCTGAGTAGCTGGGATTACAGGCACCTGCCACCACGCCTGGCTAATTTTTGTATTTTTAGTAGAGACAGGGTTTTGCCATGTTGACCAGGCTGGTATTGAAATCCTGACCTCAAGTGATCCATCTGCCTTGGCCTCCCAAAGTGCTAGGATTACAGGCATGAACCACCGCACCCGGCCTATCCTGCCTTTTGTATATGGGCTCTTCCTCAGGGCTACTAAATAGTTGATGAGAGGAAACTTTTGTTATAAGCATTCTAGCTAATCAAGGAGCCAATCAAAATTTTACATTTTTAAAAATCTTTAAAGAATTAATGGAGCCTAGAGAATGATCATCAATGGTTGCTAAAATCATGAAAAGGCAACCAACCAATTACTGTGCACTTCATGATGGAAGAATACATCCCCTTCTACTAATTTTTCTTGCACAAAATTGAACTTGAATCTCAACCTATACCAGTTATAAGAAATATAAAGGTGCCCCTTTTAAAAATATCAGGAAGAGACTAGAATGATCCATGCAATAGTGGATTCGAGTTGGAGACATCAGTATTAACTTATGTTTAGCTTAATATAGCTACATATGTTTACATAGGGGAATATTTGTAGATATGTACACACCTCTTTTATAAAGTCACTAATTTCATTCATGAGGCCCCTGCCCTCATGATCTAAATCACCTCCCAAAGGCCCTACTTCCAAATACCAACAAATTGGGAGTTAAGATTTTAACATATGAATTTGGGGGAATGAAAATTTTCAGTCATTAGCAATCATGAAATACAATGAAATTCTGAGAAACTCTCACAACAAAGACAAGCCTAAGGACACATGACATGATTAATAAGTGGATTCAAGAAATCTGAATCAAGTATAGACTTGATTGATAATGTATCAAAATTTGTTCATTATTGTCTAATGATAATGTATCAAAATTGGTTCGTTATTGTAGTAAATGTACCATAATAATATAAGATGTTAATTATAGGGTAAATTAGGCGGAGTAATGGGAACTCTTAGTACTATCTCCACAATTTTTCTGTAAATGTAAAAAATTTAAAATATATGTTTATATAGATGAGGTCTCAGTATATTGCCTAAGCTGGTCTCCATCTCCTGACCTCAAGCTATCCTCCCACCTGAGCTTCCTGAAATGTTAGGCTTGCAGGCATGAGCCACCTCACCTGGCCTGAAAATGAAAAACTTTTTTAAAAGTTTATTTTATTTTTTTAATTGCATTTTAGGTTTTGGGGTACATGTGAAGAACATGCAAGATTGTTGCATAGGTACACACGTGGCAGTGTGATTTGTTGCCTTCCTCCCCATCACCTATATCTGGCATTTCTTCCCATGCTCTCTCTCCCCAACTCCCCAGCCCCCGCTGTCCCTCCACTATTTCCCCCCAACAGACCCCACTGTGTAGTGCTCCCCTCCCTGTGTCCATGTGTTCTTGTTGTTCAACACCCACCTATGAGTGAGAACATGTGGTGTTTGATTTTCTGCTCTTGTGTCAGTTTGCTGAGAATGATGGTTTCCAGGTTCATCCATGTTCCTACAAAGGACACGAACTCATCGTTTTTGATGGCTGCATAATATTCCATGGTGTATATGTGCCACATTTTCCCTGTCCAGGCATTTGGGTTGGTTCCAGGTCTTTGCTATTATAAACTGTGCTGCAATGAACATTCGTGTGCATGTGTCCTTATAGTAGAATGATTTATAATCCTTTGGATATATACCCAGTAATAGGATTGCTGGGTCAAATGGAATATCTTAAAACATACATGAGAATGCAATCAGTAAATCCTAGACTTGAAAGTTTACAAGAAAAATGACCTGGTTTCATTAATAAATGTATTAGAAGGGAAAAATAAACATGGTGGTAGAATTTATACATTAAAAGATTGAGGAGACATATCTATTAAAGCAACTGGGCTTTATTCTAATCTGAACAAACAAAAATTCAAATAGGAACATGAGAATCGTATTGAGTATTTTATGTACAGGAATTATGGATCATTGAGATGCGACAGTATTGTGGCTGTTTCTTAAAAGAGTTATATTTTAGAGATACATACATTTGAATAAAGTTTTGCATTTTACAAAACTCTTTCAATGAGAGAATCCCTTTTGGTTCAGGAGAGGGAGAGAGGTAAGGGCGTGGTCTCACTTTTTAGGCAGGAAGAAAACGACAGCAAACATCTGCCATCTGACAGTTATTTTTAAAACATTCCACTTAATCCTCATAAAATTTTCCAGATGCTTTGAATGCAGAGCCAAGGTTGAGAACTACTAATTTAGAAGAATATACCCTGGTGGGAATGGGGAGGAGATGCCACCAGCAGAGAGCTATCGGCTAGAGGCTGTCATTTTCCCCAATGACTTCCTGAAAGTACTAGATGCTGTTGCTTATTATTTTTAAACATTCACATAATCTAAAATCCTCTTCAGGAGCCTTAAAGGAGGTACATTTTCTAGAAGGTAACACTGGCCATTTGAAGGTATAGCATCAAAGCTATCCACTGCTCTGTTATCCGGAGTTCATTAAGTAGATCCATTCATACTATAAGGGCAGAATTTTTCAGACACCTGAAGCTCCATGCCTAGACTTTTTTTTTTTTTTTTTTTTTTCCTGAGACAGAGTCTCACTCTGCCACCCAGGCTGGAGTGCAGTAGTGTGATCTCAGCTTACTGCAAACTCCACCTCCCATGTTTAAACAATGTTCCTGCCTCA